AGGACCCACCGCACACTAGTATGATCTCATTTTAACTAATAACATTTTTGAAGACCTTATTTCCAAACAAGGTAACATTCTTAAATACAGGGTAAGGACTTCAACGTATCTTTTGGAGGACACAATTCAATCTATACAAAAGGGGAGACAATACTTTTGAAGATATTTTACAAAATTTAAAATTATTATAAATATATGCCCACTGTAGAAATATTTGGACGATGCTGATTTTTTTCAACAGTTTCTACAGGTACAATTTAGTGACATTGATTACATTCTTCAAGTTTTGCAGTCATTCTCACCCTCTCTTTTCTGAGTTGTTCCATCCCCATTAACATAAACTCACTGCTCCCTAAGGTGCCTATCCAATCTTTCAAGTTGCTGTTATCACAGTTTGATCTCATATAGACAGCTCTTAAAAGAACATAACACTCAAGGCCTTGAGGCAGGCATCTTTCACTAGTTAAGCTAATCAACTATTGTTCGATTTTAAGAAAACTTCAGAGGGTATTTTTGGCTTAAGGTTAAAAGATTATTTCAGGGCATAACCATGGGTTTCATCCAGTCATCCATCCTTCATGGCTCCAGAAAGTCTAGCATCCAAGCGAATTTGAAATTCTGTTCTGCATTTCCGCACTTTGATCAGAATTCTTCTCTGGAATCTTTGACCAAAATGTTCCATGATGATAATAGTTCTGGTTTCATGGCAAAGGAGGCAGTAGTTCATGGAGGCAATCAGCTGCACATTCCATATTCTCTTCCTATTCCTGACTGTCTTCTTCTATTGGTCCAGGTGAGTAGAGACCAGTTGTTGTGACTTGAATCGCCACTTGTAAGCTTTTAAGATCCCAGGCATACTGCAATGGAGTAAAACAGAAGAACTAAACATGTTATGCCAGTAAACTGGGATATCCATGAAGCCATGGCCTCCAAACCAAGGAGCTAAATCCAAAGAGGTGTTTGGTTGTACATAAGTAGCCTCAGCAGCTACTCTTTTTTTTTTTTTTTTTTTGGTCATTGTTGTAAATGCATGTATCACACAACTTTTTATAGGTGTATGACTTCATAGCAGCAATTACAATAGTCAGCTGTGCAACCCTACCCTTAATCAATGCAATTTTTCCACCTCCATTAACCACCCTTTTCCCCTTCCTTCCCACCCCAGGTAATCACTAATAAACTTTGTTCTCTATACATATGTCTTTTCTTGTCTTTTTATATAAATGAAGTCATATAATATTTGTCCTTCTGTGATTGGCTTATTTCATCAGCATAATGTCTTCAAGCTCTATCTGTAGATTATATCAATACTTCATTTCTTCTACTGGCAGAGTAATATTCCATTGTGTATATGTGCCACATTTTGTTTACCCATTCATCTGTTAATGGCCATTTAGGTTGTTTCCAACTTTGGGCTATTGTGAATAGTGCTGCAATGAACATTGGTGTAAAAGTCTCTTTTTGAGTATCAGTACACTGAGGAGTGGAATTGCAGAGTCATATGGTAGTTCTGTTTTTCGTTTTTTGTGGACCCGCCACACAGCTTTCCACAATGGCTGTACCATTTTGCATTCCCACTAGCAATGGATAAAAACCATAAACCAAGCCCACTGCCATCAAGTTGATTCTAACTCACATGCATAGCAACATATAGGACAGAGCAGAACTGCCCCATAGATTTTCCAAGACTATAAATCTTTATGGAAGCAGACTGCCTCATCTTTTCTCCCATGGAACAGCTGGTGGGTACAAACCACTGACCTTTGGTTAGCAGCTGAATGCTTTAACCACTGTACCAGCAGAGCTGGTGGGAGTGAACTAGTGTCTCTTGTGGTTTTGACTTGCATCTCTCTGATGGCTAATGATGCTGAACATCTTTTCATGTGGTTGATGGCCATGTTTGTCCTCTTTGGTGAAGTGTCTATTCAAGCCTTTTGCCCATTTTATGATTGGATTATTTGTCTTCCTAAGTTGTCAAAGTTTTATATATATTTTGGTTATTAGATTCTTGCCAGATATATGGTTTCTGATGATACAGGGCTTCCCATTTGCTAGCTTGTCTGTTCACTTTTTCAGTAAAATTTTTTGATGAACAAAAGACAATGATGATTTTTATGATGATAAAAGATAATGGTAATAAAAACTACCCTTAATCATACTACTAAGGAGTGGTGGTGGTACAACAGGTAAGGCATTTGGCTGCTAACCAGAAGGTCAGTGGTTCAAACCCAACAGCTTCTCCATGGGAGGAAGATGAGCCAATCTACTTCCTATAAAGATTTACAGCCTTGGAAACCCAACGGGTGTCACTATGAGTCAGAATCGACTCAGTCACAGTTGGTTTGGTGTTTTGGCTGTAATCCTACTACTGAATGTTTGTTTCTTTTCCCAGTTCCCTTAAAGTCAATTCCAACCCATAGTGACCCCATGTGTGTGAGAGAACTGTGCTCCATGAGTTTTCAATGGCTGATTTGTTATCATTATTCATTATTACAATTAACACTTTGGATTATTTCTTTCCATCTCTTTTATTCACATAATTATCTTTAACATGATTGAGATCCTACTGAATATTCAGTTTTGTATATTGCCTTGTAAGCATTTTTGTACTTCATTTTAAAAATTCTTCATAAACATCTTAATGACTGTAAATATGGGTAAAGGATCAAAAGTCATTTCAAGTCCTACTCAGTCAATGATTATCCACAAATTTTACTAAAACTTCCATACTAAATCCAAGGTAATACTTTGTGTGTATCACTTTGTGGAACAGTGAAACACATGCAGTCACATTCTATTCTAACCATAAACTGTGAAGGACACAGGGCTCCTGTTAGGATTATAGGATAAACTCAGACATACAAGTTAAATAGAGTTCCAAGGTCACACAGTTGATGAAAAGCCCAGAAATACAAGGCAGATCTATCTTCTGTCTCTGCAAGTTGTTCAAGTCTCTGTTTTTCTGGTGACTAATGCCCACTGCCCAGATGTCCATTCTCACTCACTATGGCATCAGTATGGAAGGATGGTTGGGCAATCTACTTCTGTAATGACATTGCCTCAGAAACCCGAGGAGGGGTCGTAATGAGTAGGGTCCGACTCGATGGCACATAACAATAACAACAACATGGCATCAGTAAAGCTAGTGAGAGTTTTAATAGGTTGAAATGAGGGGAACTTGACAGGTTGTATTAAACTTTTGTGAGACCTATTTCAGACTGATACATGTGAGCCTTCTTTTGGTTGACTTTTGTGGTGGTTCAGCAAATGCTTCTTCAATTGGAAGAATACATTCAAAGGACTATTCAAGAGTGACACATGACAAGTTTATATGATACAGGTCTGTAAGTATAATTATTTAAGGAAATAGTTTTGGCAAGAAGAAAAATTTCCTAACCTACTTTTGTTTCCTGTCATACAAATTCTTCAGTAAGATGACAGTGTTGTTTTTTATTTATATGGCAATGTGATGTCACCTAAAAAAACCAAAGCTATTAGCAGAGGAATAAGATTATAACTTCTGTTTGCTATCTTTAAAAAAAAAAAAAAAAAGTGGTGAGAAAAACAAAGTGGAGAAAGCTTAGTGGTGAGACTTTAAAACTGGGGATGAAGTTAAATATTTATTATTTTCTTTAATGTGACAAAAACATCTTAAGAAAACACACAGCTAAGACAGATAGTGGCAATAACTTATATAAATTAGGTTATTAACTAAGCTACCAAGACTTTTAAAAGCAATTAATTAATGCTCCTGAAAGGACTCTAATATAAATCTTAAGATATAGGAATTATTTATGCAGTAGTACAAAAAAAAAAAAAATCAGGCTTTATGTTGGGTTAGTATGTGTTCACTCTTATTGTATAATTATTCAATGAGTCTGTAAAACTGAGGTTCATTGCAGTATTAGTCACAACAGCCAAAACATGAAAACAACCATAATGTCCACCAACAAATGAATGGATAAACAAAATATAGCATATACATACAATGAAATATTATTCAGCCATTAAGAGAAATAAAGTTCTGATACATGCTATGACATGGATGAAACTTGAGGCTATTAGCCAGACACAAAAAGTTAAAAATTGTATGATTCCACTTATATGAAATATCTTGAATAGGTAAATTTATGGAGACAAAGTAGATTAGAGGTCACCAGGGGCTGGAGGAGGAAGAAATGGGGCATTATTGCTTAATGGGGAGAGAGCTTCTGTTTAGAGTGATGAAAAAGTTTTCAAAGTAAACAGTCATGATTGTTTCACAATCTTATGAATGTAATTAATGCCACTGAACTATACACTAAAAAACTGTTAAGTTGGCAAATTTTTTGTTACATGTATTTTTAGGAGCCTTGGTGGATCCTTATATTTTACTATAATAAAAAATGCATTAGTTAATTAAATATATGATAGCCAAATCTGAATTGGACCGAATCAACTGAACTTCTTGAGAAGAAAGAAAGACACAGAGTAAGAACTGTGTGTCCACGAATGTTCATATTGGGAGGCAAGTCTGAAATGCATGGAATCCCTGCTTACTGGAGAATTTTGGAATGAATCTGTCATTAAGAAAATGAGTGCTGTATTACCGATTCAACACTAGTGAAGCATAAATTTTCAGTACTTTAATTTTAAACAGCATTGTTGGGTGTTCATGCTACAACATGGGTCAAAGAAGGCAAGACGCATCTTTTCTGTGAGCTGTTCATGATGATTATTGTTGACCCAAATTCATCTTAGAGTAAGTTTTGACTTGAAATTTCTCAGTGAATAGTGCTGATCCTATGAGAAACCTAAAAATTCTCTCAAAACCATAACATCTGCTCTGTATTTACAAACTGAAATAACTATGCCTATCAAATGAAAAAGAATTTCATTTCCTTTAGAAAATGCCTTTTTTTAAATAAATTTATATCAAAAATCTTTTAAAACTTTATGTAACATTTTTTATTTTCATGCATTTTGTTGGATAGCTAACTGTTGTGATTTATTTCACCCAGTGCCCTGCCAGACTGTTTTAGATTACTTGAAGACAGTACTACAGCACCACAACCAACTCATGGTACCACAGTCAGCTGACCAGCCGACTGAGGTAAGTCTCTCATAAAAAGATAAATGTT